CTCCTCCTCCTCATTCTTCCAATGAACCAGACATGCTAACTGAAGGTCCCCCTCCTTCTGGGTCACTTTCAGGCCTGCGCACTTGGCAGTACATGTACGGCTGCAAGGTGACCGAGGATGCACGCAGGGTGGGTTACGAGCAGTTCGCCTACAACGGAGAGGACTACATCAGCTTCGACAAAGAGACCCTCACCTGGACTGCTGCCGCGGTGCCCGCTCAGGTGACCAAGAGGGAGTGGGATGCTGATGTGGCACACAGCCGGTTCCTCAAGACCTACATGGAGGAGGAATGCGTCGAGTGGCTGCAGAAGTTCGTGGGCTACGGGAAGGAGTCTCTGCTGAGGAGAGGTGAGAGGGCCGAGGGTGATGTGATAGGGAGGGCGTCTGGAGTTCTAACCCCCTTTTCAAGCTGTTTATTCCCGTGGCCATCACAATGTCCTCTGGCAGCGAATCCCACATTTTAATCACTCTTGCTTGGGAACTACCTCCTTTGGGGTTTTTACTTCTTTGGTGTGACGCTCCGAGTGGTGGATATCTCCTCTTCAAACAAGGGGTGAGGCTAGATGGCCACGGGGGGTTCCTTCCCAGCACCAGGGCTATTTTTGGGCAGGAACGCACAGGAACGGAGTTCCGGCTGGCTCCCGAGTTGGCCACACCCAGCAGGAACTCATTAGCATAATAGGCCACACCCAACAGCAGGAACGCATTAGGATTGGCTACATTAGGGGGTGGTGGCCTAACATGCAAAGGAGTTCCTGCTACAAAAAAGGCCCTGGGTTTTGACAACAAACAAGGTAAACAGAATAACAAGCAAAAGGTGGGTGTGGCTGGATGACCACAGTTCTGGTAACATGGGGGTGTGGCCTAATATACTAATGAGCTGTGCTGTCAGGGGTGTGGCCTAATATGCTAATGAGTTTCTGCTGTTGGGTGTGGCCTATTATGCTAATGAGTTCCTGCTGGGCTTTTTCTACAAAAAGAGCCCTGCCCAGCACCCACCCTACCAGCCAACAGAAAGATTCCATCTCAACTTATACCAATATTTCCGCCTTGTCAGAGCCCCCAGTGGTGACGGTGGGACGCAAGGCATCCTACGATGGCCTGGAGACCCTCATGTGTCGGGCCCATGGCTTCCACCCCAAGGAGATCGATGCCACCTGGACCAAGGACGGGGAAGTCTGGGAGCAGGAGACCTTTCGCGGGGGTGTCATTCCCAACTCGGATGGGACCTACCACACCTGGCTGAGCATCAAGATCCACCCCGAGGACAGGGATCGGTACCGGTGCCACGTGGAGCACGACAGCCTGCCGGAGCCTTTGGACTTGGCCTGGAAGGAACCAGGTGAGAGAGTGAAAGGGGAGGGGGGGAAGAGAGTTTGGGTGTGGCAACGTCTAGGAGGTGAATTTCTACCCAGGGAGGAAAAGGACTCGACGAGAACAAACCGACCTCCATAACTTCATAATCCATCATCGCAACACCCAGGAGAACGTTGGGTGTTGAGAGATGATGTAGACCAGTATGGACAAGGGAGTAGGCAGAGTGGGAGGGCTTCTGAGGTTCTGACTCTGCTGGTGGACCTCCTGGTGGTCACTGTGTGACGCAGAGTGTTGGATCATTGACCTGATCCAACAGGGCTTCTCTTATGTTCTTATGTCTGGGGCAGTGATGCTCTGTATTTTTGGTGCTTGGAGGGAAACAGTGGAAGAGCTTTTGGAGTTCCGGCCCTGCTGGTGGACCTCCTGATGACACCTGGGTTTTGGCGCTGAGTGACACAGAGTGTTAGACTAGATGGGCCATTGGTTTGATCCAACGTGACTTCTCTTATGTTTTTAACTCTGGGGCAGTGATGCTCTGTTTTCTAGGGTGCTTAAGGGGCAAGAGTGGGAGGGCTTCTGGAGTTCTGGCCCTGTTGGTGGACCTCCTGAGGGCACCTGGGTTTTGGCCACTGTGTGACACAGAGTGCTGGACTGGGTGGGCCATTGGCCTGATCCAGTGTGGCTTCTTTTATGTCTGGGGCAGTGATGCTCTGTCTTCTTGGTGGGAGGGCTTCTGGAGTTCTGGCCCTGTTGATGGACCTCCTGAGGGCACCTGGGTTTTGGCCACTGTGCGACACAGAGTGCTGGACTGGATAGGCCAATGGTCTGATCCAGTGTGGCTTCTTTTATGTCTGGGGCAGTGATGGGGTGGCTTCTGGAGTTCTGGCCCTGCTGGTGGACCTCCTGATGGAAGCTGGGTTTTGGCCACTGTGTGACACAGAGTGTTGGACTGGATGGGCCACTAGCTTGATCTAACATGGCTTCTCTTACGTTCTTAGCATGATCTTGGGAGCGTGAGGTCCCATCTCAGGCAGAAGGGAAGCAAAGACTCACATTCTCAATACACAAGCTTGTTTGCCATCTCTTAAACAGTTAAATCAATGGATAA